CCATCTCAAAAAAAAAAAAATATATATATATATATATATTTATAATATATTTATTTAGACAATTTAAACATATTTAGATCGTTCTTCTTACTGAGAAATTATTCAAAACAGCATGAGAAATAGCAAGGAGAAATTAAAATATTTGACTTTATTATAAAACTTTACTTCTTGCTTCGATTATTCGTACTTTTGTTGCAATTTTCTTCCAAATTATCTTTCGTGGTTAGAATAGTTATATTTCTTTTTATCAAAAGTTTCTTTTTGATCTAAAGGAATGTGTGTTTTTTAAAATCTTGAGTCAGCAACTTTAACTATAAGAAAGTGAGATAAATACGGAACATAAATTTGCTACCTTGCTTTAAATTATCAAGAACAGCTGCAAAATACTGCGTTAGATTCTGAAATTATCAACATGAGAATATCGTCACGTGCTCAACTGTTCCAAGTGTACTTCAGCATTGATTTTGATCAGAGGAGGTGGCAAGCTGGCTAAAGAATGGTGTTCATAAAATATGTTGGCTGTATTCTGCTGTTGGCTGTATTAACAGGTATGTTGAAATACTTTGGGAGAATGCAGGACGAAATTCTAATTATTTGAATTTTTAAATCAATTAAGTTACCTAAAAATGAAATATAACTACATTTTTTTCTATCTATCTGCGAGCATTAAGTTTTTACATAAGAAGATTTGGGTATAAAAGAAAATGTTTCATTAATATGTGAATTGTTAAATTGAAATAGTGAATGAATTAGCTGTTAAATGAATTTTTCTATTTAAATAATATTTGTCAAGTTTTTAAACTTTTTAAGGAAAATAAATTATTTGAACTTACAGTTCTGCTCCTTAATAAATTTTTAAATTTATAGTAAATATTTTTTCTCATCTACACCCGTTTTCAATACATACAAATTTAACTTTAGCAATAGAGCATTTAATATTAGCACATAAATAATAAGGTGTCTTTTATTAACTTACATCACTTATTTTACAAGTTCATATCAAAATATATTTACGAAAATACATTGCTAAATGAGTTTATATAAATACATAAAATTTTTTTTAATATATAACTATCTTATTACTCAAAATTATACACATAATATCCCACTATCTAAGTATTAATACTAAATCATTTAGTATTTTTATTTAAAGTAAAAAATATTTTTCTAAAAATGATGTATAATCTAAAAAATTTTTTCGTCGTTAAGTAATATTATTATGCAATGCTGTTAAACTGAACGATAGTTTGGCGTATTGTTTGTTTAATTTGTACGATAATGTGTCTCAACCGTATTAATATCACTGTAATGTTAATCCATATTATGGTTAAATATGCAGTACAATTCATCCGAGACACGAAAAATAGATTTTTCAATGGCATTTGATTCATTGATGATCAGAACAAATAAGATATTTAATTTTCGATTGCTGTCGTTAAGACATGATTTAGGTAAGAAAACAAGAGATTTTTCTACAATCATTGTCTCTCTCATGCATCTCTTGGTCGAAAATAAATTTCCCTGCAGAAATGCTTTAATTGTCAAAGGTCACCAAATAAAATCACACAATATGTCATTTTTTTTCAGCTTTCGCTTTAATAATCTGACTACTTTTGTTAATCAATCTAAAGAAAAGTAACGAATAATTAAAAGGGCACAAAATGTGTATGAAATCATACTTTAAAAAATTTCGGTTCAAATTACTATAAAAAATGCTGGCACTCAGGGTAATGATAATTTTTACTGTAATATCTATTTTTACCGGAACATGTTACGGAGCAAAAGTATGATATACCGTGATTTTAACAGTAATAATTAAAATAAAATCACTGAGTCATTCTTAGTAAACAAATATTACTGTAAAAATTACAATGTATTACTTTGCAGTAAAATTGGCTTTTACGGAAAAATAGATTTTGCAGATGATGCACCCAAAGTATCAATACTGTATACCATAATTTTTCCCGTAAATTTTTACAGTTCACTTAAATAGTATCTTTTCCTTTGTGAAGTATTTATTTTATTCAGAAAGTAGCTTTAATATATTATTTTTGCTGTATTTATGAAGCTTAAATAATTTTGACTTTGCATGTCAGCTCTATTATTGTCCATCTTAATATAGATTTTTAACAAAAAATGCGTTTTTTCAATTATTAAAGTACTTTTCCCAATTGTCTAAATGCATACTGATGTAAAAAGACGTATGGATAGACGATCAGCCAGCATCCAAAATGTATTTATTCACTCTGTTACAGATGCACATAACAGACACATAGCAAAATTAGCAGAGATACGAGATTTCAAAACCACCATCTTTTTTTGCGACTCGACTTTTCATCGCTTCAGAAAACAAAACAAATAAAAGTAATTGTTTTCTACGCAATCTAGTAGCTTACAGTGCTACTGTTATGTAATTAGCTTTCTTCAATGGTCGCCAAGATAAGTAACAGTAAAAGAATACTTAAAATAAACTAAAACATACATTAATTATGATAAGGAAAACTGTAAATCTTCGAATAATTTTGATAAATTGTCATCCTTTCGAAGAAATTTCAATGCAACATTTTGCGGATGAAAACTGCTTGATCATATAAGAAATTTGAGCTCTAAATCCCTACACCACGATGTTTCAAAAAGACAAAGTAATAAAAAGTTTTGTACTAGAATAAAAAGTTTTAAACAGATCTTCATTTCAACTCTCACAACGGTCTTTGTATTTACAATATTTCTTTAAGACACTCTGTATTCTTATAATGGCTATCCTAATAATTAAGAACAAAGCCATTTTAATTGAAACAAAGGTCCTCATATTCAATACTAAGTTTTATCATTAATGTAAAATAAATTAATCTGCATTTCAATTAGTCTTTATATTTACTACCCCAACATTCTAAATAATTAAAGACAAAGCCAACTCAAAAAACTTCCTCATATTTATTATCTTTTCATTTGATTTAATAAAAAGCATTTCATGAATCCATTTTTTTCAGCCGCTGATATCGATGACTACCAGTGTCACGATCTTTACGAATACGACGCATCAAAAGTAGGAACTGTCGAAAGTCCCTTCTTCGGTAAGAGAAACTATCATAATGGATTGTGGTGTGAATACAGAATCAGAGCTCCAGAGGGATATGTAAGAGACATTTTTCGAACCATTTACATTTAGACACTATTATATTTACCCTCACACTATATCGAGTAGTTTTCAAATATCAAATGATACCGGGAGAATGAATGATTTACCAGAAGAAACATATAAAGTTCAGCTATATACAGTGATCACTTGAATTTGATTGCATATTTTAGTTCTCAACCCGTTTAAACATGCACGTGATCACACTGGCCGAGCTTTTATTTCAACAAGGGAGTCTTTAATAGAGAGTGTTAATTAGAAACCATTTACAAATCCCCTTTCAGTCCCTTCCTCTAATCAAAAGTACCTTTAAAATTCATTATAATTAATACGAATCTCTTCAATAAAGAGCCCCCCTAATGTGAATTGATGAAGCTCTAATATTATTGATTCTATCCACAGACAATTAATCTATAATCTCTCTAAATCGAACTTGATTGATTTGATTGTTTAGCCTTGTCATTGCTTAGATTTTGAATGAATTTGAGATTAAAATCGTTTTTTAACCCCTTTCTGCTTTTGACAATAAAAGCTCAGAGATTTATCACAATTTCCGCCAGTGTGATCTTGTGCTAACCATCAAAAATGAGAACGTCAAAAAATTAAATAAACGCTTATCATTTTGTTGTTCAAACGTTAATTGTATGCAGAGATTGCCAGAATATTACGAAGCCTATTAACGCGAAACAATCGACTACAAAAAGATAAGAGTTTCACTTCATACACAGGATGTGTACGAGGGAATTGAGATGTATACCAATAGCTGAGTCATCGCTGTATTTACCTAATTTTTATTTATTTATATATTTATATAATTATACCGCACAGTGTTATTTTCAGTTTAAATTCCTTAGTGGATCCCAACTCAAAATCCGATTGAAAATTGTTATGAACAGCAATTCTCTCCCTCGAGCCTACATAAATTCATTAAAATTTTATTGTTTTGAGAACGAAACAAACATTTTCCAAAATCTGTTTATTTAAAAGAGTGAAAATTTAGTTTTCTAGCATACCACAGTTAAATTTGAATTGTTCGAGTAATGAATTGAATCGAATTAGAATGATATATAATCATACATCAAACTGCTTTGCAGTTGTTTTCTGGTCCACATTACGAAAAATTTTCTCTTCCAGATATCTACTTCTTGAGTCAAACACAAACTGACGTATTTGTTAATCATTTACCAACTGATGGGATAAGTAAACCTAACATAATTCATAATAATACGTGTTGTGTCATGATAATTCTTGCCTGCATATCTCTGGCATTTATTTCGTCTGATACACGTAAATAATTCACGCATAAACTTTAATTTCTAGTGTTACACGTTTAACAAAATAAATATATTTTCTTTTACAGAGGATTAAACTGAAATTTTTAGAATTCGACGTTGACCCATCGAGTGGCTGCTCTCAAGACCAGCTCGTTGTTTACGGAAAAGACAAGAAGTCAGTGTTGGGTCTTTTCTGTGGTTATGAATTACCAAAACCCATACTTTCAAATGAAGGTGAAAATGAGATACGATTTCTTTTTCGAACGGATTTCATGGTATCAGGAAAAGGATTTAAGGTTCAATACGAGTCTTCACCCCATTTCAGTAAGTCCTTTTACAATAACGCTTTACTCTAAAAATTGTATAAATGTAGTTGCGATATAACATTTTGTAAATCAAAAAGGGGGAAGCATCAAACTCACAATACAGCTCTTAAAGTATAAGGATGTTTTTTTTATTAAGCATCATAGCTATTTTAATAATATTTAGATCTACTCTAATCAGATCCTCTCTAAACAGGGGAGGCTTTCCTCTATATGTGACACAATAGTTACTATGGGATGGGTTAGTTCCATCAAAAAGTCCTCCACGAAGGCAAATTTCTCCCAATACTTGATCCAGGAGTTCCCTTATCTTCTGGATTGGGTTCAAAATGAGAAGACTACGAAGTTGAACAATAGTAGTCGTAAACCCAAAAGACTGGATCAGCTGTTCAACGACGGTTATATACTAAAATAAAATTGTTTATTTTTTCAGCTAGTGTGTGTGAAGCTGGTCAGACTCAATGTGTTAACAGGAACTGTTTTACGAAAGATCAGAAATGCAACGGCGTAGATGATTGCGGCGATGGAACTGACGAAGAAGATTGCGGTGAGGATAAATTTTCTTCTCACATCTCTGGTGCTATGTTTTTTTCTTTCTAATCCATCACAGGTATTAGTCACTATAAATGAACACCGATGAATCTTAATAATCATTGAGATTAAAGTAAACTGAAGAAAAAAAATGCAATACTGTATTTTAAGCATCTCTGCATCTTTCGAATGACTGTAATAATATATGTATGCTTAAAAAAGAAAGGGAAAATACAAACAATTCAGGATGATTTAATATATACGGGCCATTCTGTTCGCAGTAAAGAAATATCTCCTTCCATCATCCATATTATTTTTGATACAAAACTTCAAACGCCCGATCGATGCTGAACACTTGTTGATATTCGTCTTTTCTAGAAATGTTTTATTCAAACTCAATATAAAAATTCATTACTGGACCATGCCTTTTTTTATTACTTATTTTCGAGCATAGAACTTTTATACTAGTTACAATAATTATTTTTTAAATTATGAGATTTAACAGGCAAAGTACAGAATCAATAAATAGACAGGCAATTACCTGCCTAAAATTGGACTGTTAAATATGAAATGATTTCATTCTTAATTTAAAGCCGTAAAACTAAAACAACATGCAAAATTCAATCAGTTAACTCATTTTAACTTCCGTTGGGTTACAGATAAACTACAAAATAAAAGGATAAATACGCTCAAATGGTGTATTAACAGAAACCGCTTTTGGTGAAAAAATATTTCGAATGACTCTTATTATTTATCCGGAAGTCATAATACAAAACCAATGATTCAGTCATTTAAGATAGCGCTTCCAAACCAACTGAAAGCTGAAACTCAGCTTCAACTGTATCTAACGTGACACAAACTGGTAATAATTTGGGATTCACCGAAAAGTTGTTAGTTACTGAAGAGATTTTTCCAGGTAATATAAGTTACCATACATTGTTTGGAAAAGAAGTCATTTTTTCTACAATCCAAAAACTATTAGATAAAAGTTATATATTTTCTTTAAATATCAAAAATACAAGTAAATAAAAATTTCCATTTTTCACTTTTGTAACTGTCGAGCTAATGAAATGAGTTGTTCAAGGTTTCCCATATGAGACGCATTACCATCGTTTAAGTACAAAATAATGTACATCATATTCAAATTTCATGTCAGTCGGATGATTTCTTGTAGAGTTATGACAAATAACGCACTTGTTGCTTAAGTTTTGCACACCAGTGTATTATATTGATTCTCATCATAAAATGTATAATAATAAGCTCATAAATTGATGATGATTTCAAAACGAAGAGCGAGGGATCTGCAACTTCTGTTAGCTAATGAAATGAGTTGTTCTAGGTTTCCCATATGAGACGCAGCCACAGAAGTGTGGAGTGCAAACTATCGAGCCGAACACAATTTTCAAGAAGCAGGGGGTAGAAGGTGAGGACAGGATGGTGGGAGGAGAATCTGTCATCCCCAACAGTAGGCCATGGCAAGTCTCTCTGCAGAACACATTTAGTGAACCAAATGGACATTTTTGTGGAGGTACACTCATAAATGCTCAATGGGTACTCACTGCTACCCACTGCGTCGCTGGGCAAGTCAATAATGTTATAAAACTGCATTTAAAAATAGAAAAAATATTTTTTCAGAATACAATAAAGTATATTTATTCAATAAATCATATCTATATTTATAACGTAATGTATCATAGTTTTACATTTAGATCTTCATCCTAACTGAAAAAATAAATGCATGTTAATTATGTTTGTTCCTGTTACTGTATAAAATAGTGTATAAAAAATGAAGGATTGCTTAAATAATATTCCTTAATTGTGGAAAATTACAAAAATTGCTTATTTTATTGTTTGTTATTTTAATTTTGGGTTCAAAATACTAAAAATATTACATACTTATAGCATTACCTGATCTGTNATGAGTTGTTCAAGGTTTCCCATATGAGACGCAGCCACAGAAGTGTGGAGTGCAAACTATCGAGCCAAACACAATTTTCAAGAAGCAGGGGGTAGAAGGTGAGGACAGGATGGTGGGAGGAGAATCTGTCATCCCCAACAGTTGGCCATGGCAAGTCTCTCTGCAGAACACATTTAGTGAACCAAATGGACATTTTTGTGGAGGTACACTCATAAATGCTCAATGGGTACTCACTGCTACCCACTGCGTCGCTGGGTAAGTGTTATTTGTTAATTCTGTTATGTTATATAGTTTACATAGAAATTCTTACTTTTAAAATTATTCGTATAACATTACTTAATTGTAAATATTTTAATTTTTTTAATTATAATATAATTTGAAGTAAGTTTATAATACCAGTTATATTGCATTTATAGGTCAAAAATGAGTGTTTTTATCTGATTGGAGCTTTTCTTTCCTCTCAATTTTAATTATTTTTCCTTTTCAAGTATAAGATCCCTTTAAATAATACAGACATTGACACAGATTAATTGTTAAATAAAAATGTTTCTAATAAAAGCCTAAACACTTATTTGAGTGATGAAATGTTGTTTCCCATTCACAAATTTTAGATATCCTTTTCCTGGAAACATCAAGATTCATTTGGGAGCTCACAGTAAATTCAGAAAAACTCAATACGAACAGATAAGAAGGAGTAAAAAAGTCATCTCGTATCCAAATTTAGAAGGAGAAGATGTAAGTATTTCCTTTAACATATCATTTTACAAAACAAATATATTAGCTTATGTTTAGGTTGCTGGATAGCAAAATTATAATCGGCAGCATTTTATAATGTTACAAACATTGATTTCACTAAAAAGTATTGCCACCATTTACAGTCGTTTATTTTTTAATCTACTTTTTCACTGTAATTACCCACTGGCAAAATGGGGTTTGAGTTTGATGGCTTGCTCATCTTATTTATATGTCATCACACTTTTCAACTGTACTAATAGTAATAGTAAACAGTGCGGATGCGTCGTCACTGCGTATGTTGCTATGGCGACCGCTGCTGTTTGATAATTTTTTTCGAATTCTTTTTTTTCACTTTTAATTTTGTTACGCATTAAGTTGGTGAGCTTATTTTTGAGATATGGGACCAGAGAGATCCCATAAATATTTATTGTGCTGTGAATAAAAGAGAATTTCATCATTTTAAGTATATTTTTAGATTTTTTTGCTTTAATTAAGAATCAGAAATTCTAACCTATAGTTCAAACTGGATCGTTTTCAATACTAATTCTGGTGAATATCCCAAATAAAGAGGGTCCCAAACAGATTAACACGGTTATCAAAGGGTAGAGTTGAAGCAAGAAAAAAACGATGCAGTGGCCTAAACTTACCGAGGCTAAAAAATTCAAAGCAAAAGAATGTAGACGGGAATACCTTAAGCGATACACAGAAACGGAAAAACGAAAAGATTCCGTTCAAAAACGCAAGCATGAAGCCCGTTCCTCACAAAAGTACCAAAGTGATTGAAAGAATTAAAACCTACCGAAGAACCCCTTTCATGCAAACACGAGAACTGGGTGTTGATCATTGTCAACGTACCCAATGACTTGCTCAAGACCATAAACTGTCTTCCATGCAATATAAATGATTCATTCACTATTCATGTAAAATTGAAAAAAAGTCTAGCTTTCAAATGTCATTTCATGTATGAACTTATGAATTCGAAACGGGTGAATGATGCACATTACAATCTCCTTCAAACACCATTGTACCCATCCGAAAATATTAATATTGATCTTAATTGGCTGTTCAATGTCGGTTCAATCATCAAAAGAATTAACACGGAATATGTCTGAGCTGCATTCAAATATGTCTGCGAAATTATGTACCCAACAGTTCAGGATTAACAGTCAACGGTGTCCAAGATGAAAACACAATAAAGCTGCTTTTCCAAAAAAAAGAAAAAAAAGAAAAGAAAATTAGTCAACAACCATTTTTTTTAATGCTTAACCGGTGATCGCCTTGTAGGGATCACAATTATTTTTTAATTCTTCGTTTGTTTTGCTTTTGATTTGAAATATTTCGTTTCTTCTACAGTTGAACATTTTTTTTTCTTTATTCATTTTTTGTTTGTTTCTTTGACAAGATATATTTTGATGCACATTAGAGTTAAATTAATGACTGCATTTGAAAAAAATTTCGTTAAAAAAACAAGCATTAATAAAATCGCACTTATTTTTTTTAAACAATTGTTATTTGGCCAATGTTATATAATTTTTTGCCAGATAGTTTTGTACTTTAAAATGTATTCGTTTTACCTCACACGACAAAAAATGTTGGTTACCAAAATTTTTGACTGTATGATTCATTTGATTAAAACAATCTCTAGCTTGGATAAAGAAACTGGTTGCAATCAGCGTTACAATAATAGTATTTAAGATCTGTTAAAAAAAACTCATGCAACAGAATTTATACAGAAGAAAGTATAAAAAGTTGGAAGCAACTTCATTTAACGTTATGTATTTTAGATCAGGAGATTCAGCATGACTGATGATATTTCTCTCATTAAACTGAATGCTCCAGTGAAATTCAATGACGGCGTACAACCAGCATGTTTGCCAGGTCTTGGTTGGAAGGCTGATGCTGGATGGCACTGCTATGTCACAGGATGGGGTGAAACTAGAGGTAAGGAGAAAAATGTTTTTAGAAAGAAAGAATTAGCTATTTGAAAAATCTATTTACTGTTCTGAATTATCTTTTTAAAAAGTCTCGTTAGTAAGGTAATGCGATTATTATGGTGGAATCAGATATTATCTGTTTTGGATGCTAAAATAATCGTTGATAAAATCAAGTTTTTAAAACGACCCAAAGGATACAAAAAATAAATAATTTTGAATTCAAATATTTTACACGTATCTATAATTAAAAAAAGTGCCAATGAATAAGCATTTTTAAGTTTTTATTTGCTCTTAAAGATAACGAAATAGAAAACTTATCATGATTTAATAAATTAATTCAATACTTTTAGAAAACACATGGCTGATATTTTTCTGAATGGTCCGAAAAATGAGCTTAAAAACTATTAGAGTGACTTTTAATGTTTATATGTAAGAAAAGTTTCTGACCCTAAAGGAGACAAAATATCTTTAACTCGTTCCTATCAAAATCAGATAGTTTAAATAAATATTTTTATATTATTAACACGTACCATACCGTCTACTTAAAAAGTTATTGTTTTGTTTGGGGAATAAATCGAAAACGCTTTTTATAACGTTTGCAGTACGCGAAGAAAAACAAAGTATTTTTAAAAGACTTCAGTTTAACCTTCTTATCAATGTCAGAATATTCATTGAGAAAGCTCTCTTATTGAAGATGCATTTATTACTATTGTTATCATATGTAGGACCGTTCATTTTTTGGTCAATGGAATTGTCCGAGAACAAACTCAATCGAAAAGATCAAATGTGGTCTATTAAATCCTTCCAGAACAAATCGTTTCTTCTGTATTGATTTTCACCTTTTTATGGCAAGCGATATTTTCTATGATTTTTGTATAGTTCAGAAGTTTTGCTTTTATTTGCATAAATTACTGACACTTCCTAAAATTCAGACATTATGAAACACTAAAAGTTTTGCATTATGCGTACTTTATGATACTGTAATAAGAATACAACAGAGTATTTCCTTCTGTTGTTGAATGGACTTAAATTAAAGCAATTTATTTTACTAAGTTAGTTACCGTCTTATCTTCGAGCCCTCTCAAGTAAATCCTGCACATACTCCCACGTAAATTCTGCGCAATGTAGTTTCCACAAAATAAACTCGATTCTCAACAGAGCATGCGCATGTAAAATTGCAAAATCTTTCTTTAAATATTTCCAATTTATGTGATATATGCTCAACTGTTGAATGTTGCCTCTCTTGCTGAGCCGAAACAGTCATACAATTATTATAAATAAGTCCCTTGAATGATGATGGGGATTACATTAATGAAGACCAAGAGCTAAATTAATGTTTTAACAATTAAATAAATAAAATGATAACATTTTGCATTACCAACTGTTACAGTTTGAGGATTACTCAGTTTTTACCAATAAATAAAGTGAAAAATCGGTTCTCCCCTGAAGTTATGCCGTAGTGTGGATAACACTTTTCCCCCCCGTCCTGAAAATTGTTTTCTTTTTCCAAATAAGCTATTATGGACAAAAACCGATTGTGGTTTTCAAATTTCATCATTATTTTTACTGTAAATGAAAAAGCAGTATCCCTGGAATACTTTTTCTTGTAGGATCTGGGGGATCAGATGTACTGAAACAGCAAGAGCAAGTTGTACAAACTCTCCAACAATGCAGTTATAATGAACACACTCAAATTTGCGTAGAACAGAGAAATCAATCCCCATGCCACGTAAGTTTTGCTACCATTGGTTTAAGGCTGCCTCTGTATTATTTTTTCTATTTAAAGAATTTTATTTAATGAAAACATTTCAAGCTCGGAGAAATAATCAATTTGTTTTTAATAAGATTTACGGGCAATGAATATTAGATGTTACCCAGATTATATGCAATCGTAATTACTTGCAATTGTAGATCAGTGTTATTGTTTTCAAAGATTAATTGCTAATCGAAATTTTTAGTTTTATTTGAAAATTACGACTGTTTTTTATCTCGATTACAAGTAATCATAAGTGAGTCATTCCACGTCAGATCAATCACTTTTGGACCGACCCCCCATCGATTTTGATGAAATTTGGTGGAATAAATTAAACAATTCTACCAATTTTTAGATTTTTTATTCAAAAATTGTCCAACTTATGGACATTTGAAAAAATAAAATTTTCATAAAAAACGACAAACTTGCATACATATAAATAGCCGTAACTTTTTTTCTAATTGTATCAGGGAAAAAATTAAAAAAGCATTGCAAAGCTAAAAAATAGAGCTTTTATTTGATATCTTATTTAAACTTCTCAGGCTAGGTCAAACTTTCAAAGTTACCTAATTTGATCTTTTACCTGAATTATCTCAAAACATATGATCTCAAAAAATTACGAAAAAAAGAATTTTTTTTACTGAAACATTCTTTTACACATTTACAAATTTGTAGCCTGGAGTCTCAACAGGAAGGGTATAAAGAATTAACACAAGTGATATACTGTATAATTAAAAATGTTATGCTGTACAATGCACTCAACAAATATTTCTTTCTCTTCTTGACAGAAATAATTCGAGTTTAATATTTAATAATATAATACACATATTTTGTAACAAATCAACAGATTTGACACGCAATTTGCTACTACTAAATATTAATTTAACATGATCACCACAATTTCTAATCAATATACAAGTAATAAATTTTTTAAATAAACAATTATGAAAACATCCTCCTTTTTTTCCAACCTTCTCATTTTAATGCTTTTATGAATTTCTCAAAGCATTTTCAGAATTTTTATAATTAAAATAAAAATGAATAAAAATAAAGTTCTGAGTTCTTCTAATCATCTGCTGTGAGTGCTAAAGCAGAAGTTTGAGTTTAAAATGTAAGCATTCTGACACTTTAGTTCTGTGTGTTTCTTTTTCTTTGTTTATACATGTTTATTTTTTATTCATTTATCTTCTAAGGGAAATTCTGAAGGATTTAACAAGATTGACTGGATCTTGCATTCAGATCAATTGAAATACATTTTCGTTTTAATTGATGTGCGGCTTACTGGTATTACACAATTACCAAGGATTGTGCGAGCATTTTTATGTCGCTTTTCAAGAAAATGTCTCTGTTTCTCATAATCTTTATCTGTGCAGTGTGTAAAATGGCAAGAAGGGATATTTTTTACAGCCCATTCACATAACTTTCACGGTGTCATGATTTGATCATTATAGGAACAATGAAGGCTGGAACGCTTGTCTTTTGATGCAGCACTATCACATGAACTTTTTTCATGGGCCGTAGGAAGGAAATGCCACTCAGCTGTGAGACCAAAGTCTATATCATGATAGCACAAATTTATCAAGCTCTGTTGATTTTTGTACTGTGAAGCTGCTACATCTGAGAAGTAATAAATATGTTTTATTTTGTTGCTGAAATGTAAGGTTATAAACTGCAACAATTGGGTCTGAAAAAGGTGAACACTGACAGTATCATGCTTGAGACATTCCAAAATGGAAACAAAGGAACATGATCCAATTTAAGTGTCTCTGAATTCATATAGTAAATGACAAAAGGGTTAATAGTCCACTGGGAATTATTCCGATGGTATCCTTGGACTGCATCCTGCAATACAAAAGAATAATTTTCAGCAAAATCACAGATCACTATTCAGTCTTTATCATCCAGGCCTTCTTTCAGATTTGATAAAAAGCATGACTGTTGATTAGTAATGAATGAATATGGTAGAAGAATTCTAGGTTTTGCTTCAAATGTTTCAAGAAAACCTTCTACATTGTTGTTAACCGTCATACGCGTTGTGCGGTCAGTTGTAGCCCACAGTTTATAGATGATCTCGTCTATTCCATTCAAAAGAAACACGTTGTTTATTTGCTCTAGTACATGGGTATTTCCAGGGCAATAATCACAATTGAAAAAAAAAAGCATTCTGGAAGAGGAGGATTGCAAACCATTCTTGATAGGACAATCTTTGTATGGTAATTCTTCAGAGCTAGTTAAATGCTATAATTTGCAACCAGCTAGCATAAGTTTTACATTTTCGAGAATCAAACAGACACAGACACAATGGGTTCCACTCGCACCAGTCAGCACACAATTTTTCGGACGCAATTCACAGAACTTGGAGAATCCAACTCGAACATTGGAATTTTTATCTTTAAACCTTTGAAAAATTTCTTTAAGATTTCCTAAAACCAGACGCTTTTGTTTCTGTATTTTTAATTCTGATTCAATCATTGTGACAAAATCTTTTCTTCCAGGCAAACAACAACTCACTTCATCACTGTTGTAATACGCAATGATATTAACAATTGTACTGTCAGTAAGAGTTTTTCCAGGTCTAGGATTTGGACTTGTTAAAATACACTGATCTTCAACTAGCAGTTTAGATTTTCGCGCCATGTAAAATGTTGCATTAAATTCTTCCTGAATTTTACGAATACTCCAGGTTTTAGGCAATATTGTTAGCATTTGGAGCTTGAGACTGCTTGAGTCTGTATCTTGAAATTTTTCTTTCAGCTGTGAAATCATGATAGATTCGTCAGACATTGTTGCAGAATTCATGCGCTTTCGTATACTATAATTGTCCTTTAAAACTTCTCCAATTTTCTTAATTTGTTTTGCTCAATACCTAATCTTTTTGTTTCTACGGGAGATTCACCTAAAACGCGTTATGTATCGTTCAAACTTCCTAATTCTGCGTCTTTATCATTCCATATTTCTTTCTGAACATCCTCTTCTGAATCACTTTCGCTAAACAACCTAGGGTTTTCCTCTGCTTCATTTACAACTGAGAAATCTGGCAATTTCGAGAGAGATATTCGACAAGAAGAACATATTTTTTGTTGCAAAGATAAATTTGGGCATTTTTTAATCATCCAATGCAGTACTTTTCTCAAATTATTTTTGACATAAGTGTGGTCATTTTTAACCAGAGGATTAACACAAAAAATTTCACGTTCAAAATCCATTTTGAGAAATAAAACGTTACATTACAGAAACTGATTAAATTGCCTTATGCAGCAAAATTAAACAGCGATTGTATTCTTTTATTTCCGCTGACATACACAAACGATTTACAAAACATTAATAACAAGAAAACGAAGAAAAATCATTTGGGTGGCCTAGCAACCAGCCAGAGTTGCAGTTATTATATTTACAAGAGTTGGCAGACGATTTAAAACAATTATTTTAAACTAATTCTCCATTGACGTCGGATCCATAACATTTTTAATTATACAGTATATCACTTGTGTTAATTCTTTTTACCCTTCCTGTTGAGATTCCAGGCTGCAAATTTGTAAATGTGTAGAAGAATGTTTCTGTTAAAAAAAATATTTTTTTCGTAATTTTTTGAGTTCACATGTTTTGAGATATTTCAGATCAAAGGTCAAATTAGGTCACTTTAAAAGTTTGACCTAGCCTGAGAAGGTCATATAAGATATCAAATAGAAGCACTAGTTTTTAGCTTTGCAATGGTTTTCAAATTTTTTTCCTGATACAATTAGGAGAAATGTTACGGACATTTATATGTATGCAAATTTGTCGCTTTTTATGAAAATTTTATTTTTTCAAAAGCCTATAATTTAGACAATTTTTGAATAAAAAATCTAAAAATTGGTAGAATTACCTATTTTATAATGATAGTTTATTCCACCAAATTTCATTAAAATCGGAGGGGGGTCGGTCCAAAAGTGATTGATCTGACGTGCAATGACTCACTTTTAATAATTGGAATGACAGTACTTTTAATAATTGGTACTAAAAATAGTTAAATTGTAATCAACTTTATTGTGTCTAAATATGTCTGGCTTTTTGAAAAAGTTAAAGTAACATTTTGATAAATTTAAAGTATCGTATAGTGTTTATTTTTAAAGATGGTGAATATTTTTTTTAAAATTTCAATTCAATTTATCACGATTGAAAGATTTTAAAAGTATTTAGAATTTATTGCAAATCATGCATCGTTCATTACATGCATCGTGTTAGAGAACAAATCAGATTTATGCGTTTAGCCTGAAGATAAGTTTCAATTCTTGAAAGACGCTTTTAAAAGAAAGCATGGAGTAGATAAACGGTAAGTGGTCTTCTCGAATATCACTGCTGTTGTTTTGTTTCTACCACGTGATTTAAAGAAATTCTTCTTAAGCTAGTTTTTTTTTTCTTTCAGTAAGCTGATTTACAGTACAAAGTTTGAATTGAATTAATGAAAAACTTCCTTAAAAATTGAAAATTGCAATATTTTAAATCTTTTTATTCGAGCACTGTTCAACCGATTTTAAACAGAACTTGTATCGAAAACTATGTATTTTTACAAAAAGAGAAAATGCATATCTCTTACATTTTCTTCTTCTTCATCATTATGAAAAATAAAGAACTGATCTAATTAAATATTAGATAATGATAGTTTTATAATGAATTTATATTTGATCAAATAAGTTTTACAATGGGATACCTGCAAGTGACATGGGTATCTCGATCCTGATTGGTTATTGAAACATGGCATTTATTTACGTCAACAACTGTTCTTTCCATTCTATTTCGAGTAAGCTAAGCCTGTCAAGCATCAATTCTCTTAAATGACGCATTCTATATTCTAACTCAAAGATTCTTTCACAAAGATTTCAATTTTTTCAGCACACCTTTTTTACCTAATGCAAAGACAGACATGAAGCCCTGTAGAACATAAACAAACAAATTATGTATCGAAGTTGCCAGGAACAGAAAACAAAAATATATCACGGTTACAATAAAATATATAAACAAATAAGAAGAAGAGAGAGAGTTAGTTATATTTCAATAAATTCAATCTGTAAACTGTATTT